TTATTAATAGATTCATTGTACACTAACACTGTATATGTGATTATAGATGCTTCACGTTTATGAGGGTATCCATTAAAAATTGAAAACCACCAAAGCCCAAGCTAGAATGTATGTATTGTCATTGCTTGTGTTTAGATTTACCCCCAAAGTTTCCTGCAGTCATAGGTGGGTTTTTTTGAACTGTGGCTGTATCTAGAGTATGTGGTGCTGGAATAGATATGGGGCCATGCTAGGATTGTGGACACTAGGATAGATGGTGTTACCTGCCTTCAGTAGCATTGATAAGCTATAATACATAAAATGATCTGTGGTTGTTCCTTGATGCTTTACTATGAACTGTTTCTGTTCTGCAATGCCCCCCTGCCTTGGAGCAAGGTGACTGCAAACTAAAACTTCTACAAACTGTGAGCTAAATAAAACTTTCTCCCTTTAACTTTGGGCATTGGCAATTTTACCTCAGCAATGATCTCTGTGTTTTGAACCCTTAAGGACATAGAACAGTCAATATTCTGTGCCTCCAGAATTTAAATCCAGTGGGAACCACACCTTTATCTCTTATTCCATAATATTCTGGATCAGGAGACTCTTATCTGAGTCTTCATTCATGTCTACTATGAGAATGGAACCTGTGCCTTCAATGGGCACCAAGGGATTGGATCTGAAGACTTTTGTTGTAATTTAGTAGAGTAGCAGTGGAAACCAGTAAGTGCTGAGGGAAATGATGGATGCAGGAGGGAGTATCTTCGGATCATTGCTTTCCCATCATCAGGACCATCATGCAATTTGGGCAGCTGGATGGGAGCATAGAGTTGTACAAAAATTTATTATTAAGCCTGTAATTCCCAGAAGAAATCCCTTTCTCACCATGAACTTCTCATTGGGGGTGGGGTCCTGGCAGATCTCAGTGTGTGGCAGCTGCTGTATCAGCTAGAGGAAGTTTGGCTACATTCATAGCCAATGGTCACAGAAAGACAAAACACTGAAAATCCACCACAGATCACTATTTTCTCCACTCTAGAACATCCTTGTGGCTGTCCATATCCTTTTGAAATTTTCTATCAGCTCACTCAATCTCAAAAAGAGGCTTAAAGTCAGATCTCCCTTTCCTTCATACTCTGGAAATTGGAAAGAATTTAAAAATGTATCTGCAGTGAAGACCACTGTCACTCTGCTTGTTTAGGGGTATTTTACACACAGTCTGAAAATTTAATTGATTTCTTTTGGGTCCCTGGATTATTGCTTGAGCACAGGAAAGGTTGTTAGGATTTCTAAGCCTATTGTTGCATCTGATGGGAATTCTAGTTCACAAAATTGCATTGAGTATGAATGAAACAGATAATCAATGATCTCTATGAGATTAACACAGGAATAGTATAAAATCAGAGGAAATAGAAGTTAGTTATTTATAATGATAAGAATAACCTTCATACTATTCAAGTAAAGGATATTGTGCTTGAAATCATTGTTTTCCTATTTCTGGAGCATAGCGGTTTAATTTTTCCTTATATTTAGTACTTTGTATGTTACATTTAGTATATGCTATATATTGTGAAATAAATTTTCACCTCCTATAGCTGATTCTGAGTGTTCATATTTGGCAGAGAAGGGAAATATAAAATAATAATGCATATTAAAGCATGACTATACCCTTCCTTTATTCACAAATACTGGCTATAACCCATGTGGCTTCAACACAATTGGTGGTTTTCTCTTTACATGTTTATCCTTTTCAGGGATATCTCATAGCATTAAATGAAAGACAAAGTATCACTTGTTTGTGTGTATATCATGGACATACAGAACCTATACTTCTATTTCTTTGCATTTATAACATTCAATTTTTCAAAGACCATGGCAGAGATGTTCATGAGTATGGAGAAAGCAAAAGAGACACAAGCAGAAGAAGGGAGACAAGACTTGCTTCTGGAGCTGAGACATATTAGACACATTTTACTTTTCACATCATTCCAATGCTCCATAGAGTTATTTGGCAGTTGTATGTGCCAATAATTGTATTCACCATTACTTTGATTATTGAATTCTTTAAAAAATCTCATAATGCCCAAATATTTATTAGTTCCTAAACCTAGATTTTGTGCCAAAAACATGGTGAGGAAGGCTTTTGTTCTCCCTATATTTGTTAAGCACAGAGGCCAGAGAAGTAGAGGTATTTATGCACTTTCAGCATATTGTACGAAAGCAATCATATGGGACAAAAGCATTCATTTTTTGCCTCCAACCCAGGACATTTTCTCTTCTACTGGAGACAAGTGGAAAAATTATCCCCTATACAACTTGAAATTTATATTCTTTTTCTTTCCTTTTCTTGGTGTTTTGAGACATGGTGTCATTGTGTGATAGAGGATGGCATTGCATTTGAAATTCTCCTACCTCCACCTACTAAGTATTGAGATTACTGTTGTACAAGACTATCCCTGGCAAAGATGGAATTTCTTGATGAATTATATTGAAAAGTTATTATTATAGAGATTTCATATACATATTTGATGGTACATGCTAAGAATAAGAGGATGTATTTAATAAT